CTCTCTCTCTCTTTCTCTCTCTCTCTCTCTCTTTCTGGTTTTTAAACTACTCCTCCTCCTTTTTTCTTCACCCATCCCTCCCCTTTTTTTCTACCTTCCGTCCTTCTTCACCTCTCACTTTTTTTCTTTTTTTCCTTCCCCATCCCACATTGTTTTCGTCAATGTTCAGTCAATTCTTACAATTTTACTGGTTTCAGTCATCACTGTTTTTGGTTTCGTGCTCTTCATATTCCTGAAATGCAGTCAGTTTCCTTACACCTCTACCGACGCAGTAATGCAATCTCTTTCGGTTTCTGGTTTGGGAAAGGGGGGGGGGGGGTGTCCTCTTTTCAGCCCCTCGCGGGTGGTTGGCGGGCGCCAATATAATGTCCTACTTTTTTTCTTTCCCTTTCCCTCTGTTGTGACTGGCCATCTGTCTTACTTTTCCCTTGCGCTGAATGGCTGTTTTTGAGTCGATGTGCATGCCTTCCCTTTAAAAAAATTTAAAAAAGAAGTCCCTCGCCACTGTATGCATTGTCATGTTATATATCGCGGGGACAACACGTCTAGATCTGTTCTTTGTCGAACACTTTAAAACGAACATTGCGTACAGTATTCTGGGTGCAGCGTTACCCAAGTTGACATCACCCTGGGTTATGGTACGGACGACTCTGTCTCAAATCCCCATTGGGGTTTTCTTGAATTTGGGTTGTTTTGGACAGTTTAAAAGGCTTTCCCCATTACACTTTTCTCTGTTATGTCAGGGATGAGGGATGAGTGTGAAATTCGGAGACCGGTCTCTTCAAAATTGTGTAGTATGACATCGGTGGCCTAAATTGGGCTCTCGGCCTCGCAACCGTTAGGTCGTGGGTTCGAATCCCGTCAGGGGCCCGACATTGTGTCTTTGGGAAAGCCGCTTTACACGTATTTTTTCCTCTCTCCGCCCATGTGGAAATGGATAGCCGGCTAGTGCAGACTGATATATTTTGCCAGTTTGCTTGCACTGTCTTCTCCTGGAGAATCTGGAAATTTTCTGTGCTAGGGTTATAATAATAATATAGTGTAGAGCGCATAGAGCGTGCTGTCGACTCTCGAGCGGGGATATACGTTTTACAAATGCTATTTAAGATAAGATAAGACACATCTTTTATTGTCCAGATCCTGGCACATTGGTTTGATGTTACACCACGTACACACATAGGCACACACTCACGCGCGCGCGCACACACATACACACACATACATACATACATACTAACACACACACACACACGCACAGTATACTTGTACTCACAAACAGGCTCACAATCACCTGCATAATATAAATGAACACCAATATAAACAATAATGATGTTAAGCTAGATACATTATCAGTTATAACTCAGTATTCTGATTGTAACCCAATGGTATTCTGATGCATGCCCTAAGATCGTATGAATATTTATAACAAGATTGTTACATGTATTAGTTTTGAGAGGAACGTTAAACCCATACCACACTCGAGTATCCCTCCTCCTCCTCCCGTAAAACCACGATTAAAGATGTACCCCTGCGCTAGACTGTGTTATACGTAATTCTGGCATCTGCGATGTACTTGGTAAATTCTTCGCCATAGCGTACATATATGACTTGAGTTTAATTTCTGCGCTGGCAAAGAAAACTAATTAGTCAGTCTTGATTGCTAAGGCCCTGCACACTGTTCTGCTGTGTTTGTTATGTAATAGTTTGCCTCATAACCGTTGCACGCAACAAAACGAACAAAAAAAGAATGAGTTCGGTTCCTGTGTTGAGACAGCTTTTTCTATGAGATAATCTCCATCTTTCCGCGGGGCTGCTGTGTCCCGCTCTGTTAACGTTTGGACCGAAAAGCAAAGTCTAAACTATTCGTCTCATAAATTATCTAAATTGTTTCAGTTGGGACGAAAAACATTTATTATGTAATCTGTCTACCGAGGGCCTTCATTGCCCTCCAAAGGAACAGAATTAAGCCACGCTAATAAGATTCACCCCTACCCCCACCCCTGCCCCCGACTTCTCACCCTTTTCCTTCTCCATCTCACAAACAAGACACCCCCCCCCCCCAACCACCCGTCCCTCACTCCTGTGCCTCATACTGGTCTCTCTGCCCTGTACCTTCATCTCCACACACCCCACCCCCTCTCTTACCTTCTGTCTTGGTCTATACGTTCTTGCTCTGAGCGTCTAGGTCTAGGTCTAGGTCCAAGTTTTCTTAACTC